GAAATTTCTAGCAAAGCAACCGTTTTGCTGGAGGATCCTGGAGTCCCAGGCTCCTCCAAATGACTGATGTGCCTCCCACTCAGAACACAGGAATGAGTTACAAGTGTTTATCCATACAGGCAGATGCACCTTATTAACATGCAGTTTGAAATAACACATGTGACCCTAGCATATATGACTGTATATCCATATAGCTCCATCCACTAGATATTTTAGAGCATGCAGCTCCTACAGAAGATTGCAAAATGTGTCTCCAAAGTGCTTCAGTTGAGGTGCAAAAGACCAATTTGTCTATTTGCAGAAAGATAAAGGCAGGATGAACTTGCAGGAGCGGAGCAAGAATTTAGCAAAATTGCACAGATTAAGAAACATTCCATCAGTCCTTTAATTAGGCAAGAATGTTCAGGATCTTGGCTGCCTACCTAAGCAGAATGCAGAACCAGTAGTAGAGATGTTATTTTTAATTATGAGTTCAGTGTTGAGAGAGCTATATTCAAATGCCAGCTCAAGCATCAGAAATAACATTGTGCCCCTCAAAGCTGGAGTTTAATTATTCTTGGACTTAATCATGATAAATTGCCTTACAAAAATATCCCTTCATTGCATTTTCCCTGAGTTTGTAGCTGCAGAAAAGGATTCATAATCATCACTCTAGAAACAAGTTTTCAAAATCATTTCTCCAGCAACTTTAGGAATATTTTAGGAATATACAGATGCACTCTAAACATGACCCAAATTATTTTTCTTTTTAATTTGTCCTACCTTCTGAAACCATGGTGGGCAAAGCTTGGGTTGAGACTTCATTAGACCTATTGTCTGTGAATTAAAAAAAAAAAAAAAAAGGAAAAAGATTAAAGTAACTCTTAAAAATAGTCGGGCTTTTATTATAAAGGCTGAAAAATTACCCTGGGTTAGTCACACTGTGCATTAGTGTGGCACAGTCACAGAGCATAGCTGAGAAGCATTTTTTTTTCTTTCTCTCACCTCTAAATATATTAACTTTTTTTTTTATAGAGTGGATTTATCTTTGTGCTAGTACAGCCTGAAGACAAGAATGTAGACTTCTTTAATGAACAGCTCTCTGATTTGGATGCATTTCTACAAAGCTGCAAATTGGCTGAAATGAGTCATTTTGGAAAAAAAAATGATCATTCATCTTCCCACCCTCCAGACCTACATTTCAAGGGAACAAAGCTTTGTGGACAGATATGGTCCATCTTTGTGGGGGGAGAAAAAAAAAAAAAAAAAAAAAAAACCATATCCACTAAGCACGTCCCAGCCAAAAGGGAATACAGTTGAGCTCAGGAAAGTAGCTATCCAGGTGTATCAGGTACCCACGTAGGCCAGCATTTCAGGAACAGGTATATTATCCCCTTCCCTGCCAAGGAGCACACCTAGCAGAAGAAAAGGTGTAAGTTTGCATTTGAGCCTGAAGCCCGGCAATGCTCCAGAGGGAAATTGGACTTCCCTTTTTGCCAACCATCCTCACACATGCCATTAACCTCTCCACTCCTGTGGAGAGGTTCCACCAGCTTCACCAGCTACCTGAGACAGGGTTTTTCCACACAAGCAGCTAACTTGGAGCACAGTGAGCAGGGAAGGTCCTCCCTTGCCTCAAGCATTTCCACCATCTTACGGACCTTTTGCAGCTCTCCTTGAGGGTGTGTAACACAGCCCTAATTCCACAGCTTTGAGTTTTCAGAGAGCTGCGCTGTGCGCATGCAGATTTACTCCCAGCAGTGCTCAGTGGGAAATGCATAGTAGTAAGATCGTCCTGGCGCCTTGTAGCTAAGCTAGAATGGTTTTGGCTACAGGAATTGCAGCAAGATACAGTTTAACAAACAGCAAACATTTTCTTAAGCATGTGCAAGAACTTTCTTTGCTTTTTAACTGGTTATGATTATTCAGGCCTCTTTTACAGTTTATTTAGCTCCCTCAAAGTCTTTGTTCAAGCTGTGTAATGAATTTGCATAAAACATCCACATGCTTGGCATTTCCTCAATATTTTGAATAACAGAACATGTGTTTAACATTCTTAATGTTCTATGTTTCAGATGTGTCCTATCTGTGCAAACCTACCAAAAGAAAAAAATATTTCTTCTGATGAAATATTCCATATTTCATTTCTTTGGATGGAAAACAGACATGCACATGAGAATATCTTATGAGCCTTTGGGGTTTCATGCAACATCAGTGTTGACTGTAGCTGATAGAAACCTTCATTATCTTGTGAATCTTCTTGTTCAACAGATATTTCTGGAAATAAAAAGAAAAGCTGTGAGGCCCTTTCATTACACTCCAAACTATAAATCAGAGCTGTACAAAATGCTGGCACTAAAAAGCAAGCTCATATGGCTGAAGGCTTCTTTGCTGAGACCCTATTCAAGGATTTGGCAAGCGCAGCACACTTATGCCAAGCTGTTGTTCCCACGAATGGCAACGGCACGTGGCGATCCCGGCTGTTCGCCAGCTGTTCTCTCTTAGGATGCTTGATACTCGCCTTCGTCCAGGGAGGCACCCCGAGGCTCCCTTTAGCAGGAATTATATAGCCCAAATGGCTTTTCTTGTGAACATTTCTACAGTTGCCTTGTTAAGGGGTTTTATTACCTCTGGACTGGTCCGTGAGGATCTCTCTGTCCATGTACCACACCAGGCGGGGCTTGGGGAACGCCTTCCTCACCACGCAGCTGACGTTAGGCTGTGGAGCAGCAAAAGGCAGTCGTTAGTCCTCAACATCTCTCATCTGGCTCTAGTTACTGAGGTCCAAAATCTGCTACAAGTGGAGCTGCTCCTGCAGGCTCATATGCTCACGATCCCTCTCGGCAAAGAAGTGTTTGTTTCTTCTTTACTGTGCTTTTTCTTCGTAACATTCTTCTGGTTCAAAAGATTGTTGAATGAGATTTAAGGGACACCCTCATGTCCCGGGGCTGGGGGTGGTGGGATTCAAACACCACCCAGCTTTGTGCTGGAGTTAGAGATGCTTAGGGTGGCCCTCATCCCCATCCCAGCTCTCCTGGTAACCACCTCCCCGCCAAAAAAAAAGAACCAGGGACATTGGCAAAGGGCAGCATGCCAGGGAGAGAAGACGACACCCCCAGACTGTCACTTAAACCTTTCCTTCATTAAGCAGGTAAGGAGACAAATTCCCTGAAAAGGCCTGCCTAGCACAACGATGTGCTCAATACCCCAAATCAGATGCCTTCACAGAGGGCAGAATATATCAGAGATCTCCAGAAGTCACAGGGAATTGGCCATATCAGATGAAATAGCCCTGGTTATACAGTAGTTGCACCCAAGAGTAGGTGTTTAAGCCTAATTTACTTTGTTGTCATGCAAGAGATGAAAGGACATCAAAAATCAAGGCTGATTTCAGGGATAGGCACTACAAGGGTGGGAGGTTCTGTCCGTATGCTGCCTTGATGTTCCCAATTCATATTCGTTTAGCAGCTTTTCTAGCACTGAAACGGCCTTGTCCATTTAAACACAGAAATTCATGTTACTACCCACTCATCACAAAGCCCTCTTGCACGTTGAAGGAATTAGCACACACATTCAGCTGAAAGTGAGCCTGATGTATTGCAGCCAGCAGAAGTCAATCATTCAGCATGAAGACTCAAACTACCCAGCTGGAGCCATTTTCTTGCCATGGTTTAAAAAAAAATCAAGCTCATTGTGTAATTACTTTCTCCTCTTTTGCCTTTATTATTCACTTATTTTTCAGCCACATTTTCTTCATTGTATTTTTTAAAAATGCTGCCTATAAGGAAAAACAAATCTGCTCTGCAGAGTAAATTCCTACCCTACAAGAAAGGGTGGAAAAGAGAAGGAAAGGAGGCAGTGTTTGTTTTGGAAATGAAGAATGGACAAAGGCTGGTGGAAAATCTTCCACTGATCAGCCTCTTGGTAGTAGCACCCCTTGCCCATGCTCAGGTGGATAAAAACCTACCAAAATTTCCAACACTTCCTTTGTGCTGCTCTTTTCCTAAGCTCCTCTCTGACACTTTATACCCTCAGTTTTCCTCTTCTTGGTCCACCACCAACACCTCTCACTCTCCTGCCTCCCTCTTCAGAGCATGCCCAACAGTTCCCAATTCAAAACACACCCAAGTTTAGCATGCCCAACAGTTCCCAATTCAAAACACAGCGGAGGGTGAAGCCTACCCTAGCAGGAAAGCACCCAAGATCACATTAACCCTTGCCTCCTTCTTTGGAAAGAGCTTTTAAGCAGTATAGAGATGTCTGTACTCCATTGATTGATAGCTGGTTCACGGGGAGCAAGAGGGAGCACCACAGCCCCCTGCAATCCACCCCAACTCCTCCCTCCTACCCTGGAGCATTTCCTACTGCTGCTGCAAAACTTCATTTTTACCCATGCTACAGAGGAACTCTCAGCTAGCTCTTATCTTTGCTCACTGAAGCAGCTGCTTGCAGCAGGGTAGGACCAGCTCGAGAGAAGGGATATGAATCACTGACACTGAAATGCTGACTCGTTTCTTGCCATGTGAGCTTGGGCAGCATGAAGGTTCCTGCTAGATCTGAATCGCTCAGGCCATCTACCTTGGTCAGGCTCACTCATCAGTACCACTGAGCAGCATTACAGCTGTGGAAGTTGCTCTTTGTTCTGAAATTACTCACTTTTTGCAAGGTGCCAGCTGAGCCCTCTTGTAGGGTGACAGAGATTTCAGGGTAGGCTGGAGAACAAACAAAAAATATGCTAATGAAATGGATACTGAAGGTCTTCCGATGAAAGTTAATAGCCTCATTTCATTAAAAAAAGCATATATTGAATCCTACACCCAGTCAGCTACCTGGCAGGACAGAAGCTTGCAGAGCTCCAGTTTGAGGTGAAGGAAGTGGTTTACAAGCATATATCAGCGCTATCTACCACAGCATGATCTTTCTAAAACTTCATGTATTGCTTTGCTGGAGACATTAGCTAAACCAGCCTACAGTCACAGTCCTGGTAACAGAGCAATTCTTTCAGGGCCTTCTGAAAATGAACGACGCCATCCAATTGCTGTCCCTCCAGAGGTTTGCAGATCAGAGTCCTCAGTGACAGCTTTCATCACTGCCTGTCCCTGTTACCTCCCGACCCCAAAAGTTTGTTGACCTGGGGTACCAACTTCTACACGTCATCTGAGCAGATGTGGGACAACATCACGCCACAGGCGCTTCCTGCCCTGCCAGGAAGCCCAGGACTTACCCCCGCATCAGAGCAGCAGATTTCTGATGACCACATCCACAAGAAATGGAAAAAGTGTTTGCTTGTTTCTTTCATTTTCACAGCATTAAAATTCTAGCTGCATTTGACTGTATCAACAAAAGCTACTAGAATCACTACTACAGCATTTCTAAACTATTAAACCATAACCTTTGCTATCAGTGGTTGTGCAGCAATATTAAGTGACTTATTACAAAAGAACTGTTAAAATTGTGGTGACATAAAGCAACTTTCAGAGACCTCAGAAAAGTCATTCTTCTGGTCTTTTCTGAGCCTCAAAATTAGCTGGAAACAAGCACAAACGCTGGATCACCAAGCAGGTCTGTGAGTCTTTCTCTTCCCAACCCACGCCTCACCATTTACTCCCCACCATTGCATTCTTCTTCTTTTCTTCTTCTTTTGTTTTTAAGCCTGTTAACCAATACAGAGCCACCTCCATTCTTTACTTCCCTGCTGGGTTAATCTGATGATGTTTTTCTGTCTTTTTATATAGTGGATCCATCTAAGACTTAGTATAAGAAAATGAATATTTTAAAAATTCACACTTGTTTCTGTGCTTTCAAAACAGGATTGTGGCTAGCAGAAGACAATCATTCTTTTTCAAATGAAAAAAAAATATATATGGTAAATTGGGGCTTCCAAAATAGCTGAAAGATGGCAAGAGTTTGAAATACCATTTAGACTATTGCCTGTTCTGCCTCTTCTGCCTTTTTCTTTTTTTTTTCTTTTCTTTTTTTTTTTTTTCAGTTTGATCAGAACAGGGTATATTTTTCCAAATATGTACTGGATACCTTTCTCTTCTTTTTCAGAAGACACATTTTTGGGTAATTATTCTATATAGCAACTTCCAAGCAAAGCTCTGAATCATCTAACAGATACTTTCCATTTAACATCTCGGCCCCTGTTAACAATTTGACATTCATTTGTCTTGCTACAATATTTACCAATGTTTTGTGTCTAGCAGAAATTCAATATTTAGTATAGTGGTTTCTGCTGCTAAGCTTTTACTCTTACAAAAACGATAGATCAATATTTGGGAAAGTTAGACATACAAAGGCCATGTGTCTTCACAGAAACTCGCATCTAAAGGTACTGCACTCAAGAAAAAAAGAGTATTTTTAAGCATTTCTGTCTAAATGTGACTTCTTAAAGAAAGCTCTCTTACCTTAATATCTGTATTTACTCAACCTGTTGAGTTTCCTGCTGTCAGTGAGTCCCAGTGATGCTCTCCCTGTCCCTTGCCTGCCAAATCCCTGACACATCATGTACCAGTATGTCACTGGCTTGCTGTGACCAGAAAAATCTTGCCAGGTTTCGGCTTCCCTTGGGTCTTTAGTCATGTTCTTTCAAAGGACCAACCTGCCCAGTACCAGGCTCTGCTGACATCACACTTGCTTTCTGCAGCGTTTTAGCTCCTGCTGTGGCCATCTGGGGCTGGATCTACACAGTGGGGTGTAAATGTGCATTTCTTCATTCCCCGTTCAGCTTTGGCATGAGGAGCAAGAGAGATGCTGTCAGCTGAAGTGGCTTTTTGTCTGTCCCCAAAGGCTGTGCCCTCTTGTCAGAAACCAGCCCATAGTGCCTGGGATGGTGGTGGGACTTTCAGAAGAACTCATCACCACAGGGCATGGTTCCTCTTGCTTGCATCTCTCTCCTGCTGTGCTGCCATGCTGATGGGTGCATGGGCAGGTGGCCACGCATGACACAGTAATAGAGAGAATAAGGCAAATAATAAAGACAGCAACCTTTTAAATTCACAGATACAAGGAACAAGGCAAGATCGTCAGCAGAGGAGAGTTCAAGTACCTCAGCGTGCTTGAACAATTACCCAGGTAACACTGTAGCTATCTGACAAACATGACTAAATCATGCAAGTGAAAGAAAAAAACCTCTTTTCATTTCTCTTGAATCAGGGACCAAGAGACTCCAGAAAGAGATTGTACTTTTTCCAGCACTCCATGCTGAATCTCTCTTGCACTCTGGTTGCCAACCTTGCACAGCTGCCCTATCCCAGAGCCTCCCCCAGCAAGTACACATGGTCAAGGCAGTCTTGGCAGACCCGCTGCCCAATGCCCATTCATTTCAGGAGCGTTGGAAATATATTTTCCAGGTGCACTTCTCTGCAAGCAGAAAATGCATCTCTGGTTTCTATGGGCAGCTTTGTTCTCGCTAAGCTGCAGCTCAGCATGTGTAGAGCTGTTCCTAAGCGGTAAATATAAGGAAAAACATCCAGTATTTTCAGGAGTGCGACCTTCATAATGAGATGGGAGTTGTGCATTTGATCATGCAAAAGCACAGCTGGCATAAGCCCCTTACCCAGGACTCTCACTGTGGTGCTGGTCTTGCGGGTTCGCTCTGGATGGTACACCACATGGCACGAAAACACCTTGCCGTCATCAGAGAGCTTGGTGGGGGAAATCTTTAGGGAATTATTCAGACCCAGGTGGATTCTTTCTCCATGCAACACACTACGGTTCCTGTATACCGCAGCAGTGGAGGGCTCCTTAGCTATGAGTTCTTCTTTGCTTCCATTTTCCTCCTGTGAAAAGAGCAACCCAGGCAAAGCGTGAAGATGGGACACTCCATGCTCTTTCTGTAGGCAAACGCTATTCTCATCACAAAAATCTTCCTTCTCACCCCTCACATCAGTAAGTAACTTTAGGAGTAACTCGGCATTTGACAGATATTTTCCCCAAAATATTGTCTTTTTGTGAGGAGGTCCTCCAGACCTTCAAAACCAATAGCACTCATCACCTTACCAACGGACTTTGGAGTAAATAAATATCTGTGCCTTCTTAGGGATGCTCTCTGTAATCTGCACAGAGAGCTCAAGAGCTTCTTTCTCACTGCATAAATCATGCTGAACACCCCATAGTACTAAACATGGGGGAAATTCTGAGACAATCTTGGGCATTTAAGCTTTATACAGAGAAAACCTGTCTGCCACTCATTCTGTTTTGCAGGCGTAACCAGGACATGCCAGACACTTGTGCCTCAATACATATTTACAAGCAGCTCTCTGAGTGACACATGGTGACCTACACATGCCATGGTGCCAGTCTTCTGATTTTCTCCCTTCTTTCTGCTGCTTGACTCTGCAGTGTGAACCCTCAGCACTGTAAAGTGTTAATTACAAGCACCTTCCATAGTCTGGAAGGAGTGTGTGGCAAAGAGATGGAGATTTACCTGGATAAAGAGTTGAGGTAGAAAACTAAAATACAAAAACAAAACAAACAAACAAAACCCCCAAAGTCCCTTTTAAGAAATCCTCCAATGATAACTCCTCAGTTACAAGTGAAAATAGATAACAGCTAATGGGTAAAGCTCAAGGACACCAATGAGTGATACTTGTCTCCAAATACTGATGTTAATAGCAAAAGTGAGATACAATACAAAAATATCTTAACATATCTTGACAAACTACTTAAAAAAATGGTTTTAAGAAGTCAGCCAGATAACTGGGTCTGCATGACTTTTGCCTGCATCTGTGAACGCAGGCAGAAACAGATGCAGGCAACAAAAACAGAAAACAAAAACACCATGGTCAGTCTCACCTTCCTCTTTTTCCTCTTTCAAAGCAGCCTCATTTCTCAGTACTCTATGCGGTAACTGAGTATGAGATATTAATGCTTCAGTACAACAAAATCCCTCTGATTTTTAATACAAAGAATGTTTTAGCTCAGTTAAATTTGTTGAGATCTTTGCACTTTCTATAGAACTGCTCTACACGCACTCATGAAAAATTAAAAGCAGTTAAGATGGAATTTTCTCTCTTTGCTTGTTTAACACCAATTTTTTGCAGCGTTTATGTTGCAAAACAGCATTTGCATTTTTTCCTTTATTATCACAGTCCAACCCTACTGATATCTTTTGTTTAACATGTTCTATGGAACACAGCCTACCATTTCTATTTCTACTAAAAAAAAATCTTTCTTCCTAAGTCTGTACCTGAGATGAAAAACAATTATACTTACCACTAGCCACTTCAAAGGATAATTGGACAGATTTTCTGAGGTCGCATTCCCAAGACATGGAATTTCTAGAGTCTCGTTTAACTGCACTTCCTTCAGGTAATGCTTCTCCTCTTTTATCATTGCAACAGAGACAATAACGACAACAAAAAAGTCCAAGAAGGAAAATCAGAATCTTTACTTCTCTTCTGTTCAAGGAACAGGCGCTTTGTTTTGTCTAGCTGGGAATTGTGATTTTCAGCCATTCAAAAAAGTCCAAGAAGGAAAATCAGAAACGTGGTGCCCACTAAGCTCTGGGAGATGATCTTGACTTCTCTTCTATTCAAGGAACAGGCACTTTGTTTTGTCTAGCTGGGAACTGTGATTTTCAGCCATATCCTATAGACACACAGGTGAAGTGAAAGCCCTGCACCCAGCCCTGCAGTTCTAGATGCAGCTTCAGGGCTAATTCACAGCTTTAACAGCTCTTTTTTTTTTTTTTTTTGTACAACTCATGAAAACCTTCACTTAACTGATGGATCAAGGTATCTCCTATTGGAACTAAGGAAAATCTGAAGCACCCATTTCTCTCTCAAGATTTTTTTCCACTGCAATAAACCTTCCTGTTGAGTTTACTCATCTGTACTTCCTTGCCTCTAAAGTTGCCAGTCTTTGCACTAAGATCTCAGCATGCCAGATGGGTTAAGATAAACCCCCCCCCCTTTTTTTTTTGGTCTGATCGATTCTTTTGCTGGTTTCAAGCAGAGATCTTCTGTCGCTTGCAAAACCAGAGCAAGAGCGTGACAAAACCGATGGGCAGGAAGCTGTGTCACGCCGAGCTGAGCAGCTTGCCCCTGTCTTGCATGCAGGCAATGCAGGATCACTCAGCTCTGCCTCGGCTTTCAGTCACAGCCCTGGATTTCAGAGCTGGGAAGGGAAGCCCGCGTGCCAGGCACAAGGATGGGGACACCTGCCCCACCAGCCCACATCGCTGTCGCCCATGGCTCGTCCCCCTCCGCCATCACGAGTCTCTTGAGCCTTTACTGCTGTGATGTGGGTGACGGCTGGCAAGCCACCACCACCACAAGGCAAAAATTTAGTTTCCTCCTTTGCACACCTTTTTGAACCTTGCACTTTTGGTTGATCTGTCTCATGTGCCGAGATAGAAGAGATTTTTTTCTCTTGGGGAAGGGAGGCTATCATTAGGTTGCTACATTGTTTGGCAGGGGGGACTTTCTGGTGGCGGTGAACTCCTTTCTCCCCAGGCAGCAAGCACAAGGTGCAAGATGACACATGCAAGGTGACAGTGCTAGCACACTGATGGAGTCCCATCAGGCAGCCAAGGAGCCGGCCAACACAGCAGGATGAAGAGCACACCAGCACCGACATCACGGGGTAACACAGAGGGATTAATGAGAGGGCCCAGGAAAGGAATTTACAGCATCTCAAGGAAAAAGCAGCACTGGAGACATTGCTGGGACAAGCTCATGTGCAAAAGTGCCCCACAATATACAGGCCCAATATGAGAAGTACAGAGATGAATATTGGTTCAAGAGTACGGTCTGCAAATCACCCCTCACTGTCACATGTTGCGACCGTTCATTTTTCCCCTCCACCTTTTATTCCCACCTCCACTAGCTGCATTTCGGCTAAGACCCTCTTGTACGGCTGTTGCTCTGCAGACTTAGTGCAGTGTTTGCTAGCTGAATCCATCTGGATTCACTTCACTTTGATGCAGCTGAGAGTTGCACTTCATTAGCGACTAGTACCCTTCTCCATCCCACTCTCAGGCTCAGTTAAGGTCTTTTGCTGTCTTCCGTGTGGAAGTGGTTCACTGCAAAAATGTGGTTACCTTAAAACACAAATCTGATGGAGATATGTTGCTAACTAAATATTTTAATTCTCTCTAGCAGTCAGTATCAGTAGCAGAGCTTGCTACGTCATGCAGGTGCTGAAGAAAAATGCAAAGATGGTGATATGAACAACAGCTGCTTACATTTAACATATGTATACAGCAGTAACAGGATGGAACATGCCAGAACGAATGACAGGCATCAGCAAGGGAAAAAGAGCCTGATTATTGCTATTACTATATTAAGGAATGGACAGACAAAAATTGCATGAAAAAGAACAGAAAAACAGGTTCTCAGTGTGTGCATTTCCTTTCTCTGCTCACATCCAGGGGTCCCAGGAGCAAAGCGGACCGTAATCTTAACCCAAGGGTAGAGCATTGTCGGTGTGCAAGCTTGCAGCATCACTCACAATACCCTGCACATTTAGGCAGGTCCTCCTTAATGCGGCTTGACTCGAGCTCGGGAGGGTTTCATGCAGTTAGCAGCACTGCCCACAGAGACGCTGCTCTCCCCGCTCACCACTGCCCTCTGCCCCTGCCCCGTCGCCTGTTGCAGCTGCTGGCCCCAACACACGCAACCGGCTCTGCCTGCGCTTCTGGGTGAAGGTGCTGGCCCTGCAGCTCAGCTCGGCGCTGAACGTCGCCGGCTTCGCTGCATTTGCTACATTCTACTCTTTCTCCCTTTCTAATGGAAAACTGAGCCTGGAAGAGATTTCTCGGATCATCAAATCCAGCCCCTTGAAGGCACAGAAACAAATTTCTCTGAACCCTGCCCATCTTCATCCTCAAGGAAATTTGGTGGCTCTTTTTTTATTGCTCACGCTTCTCTCACTAACCGCCTGTTCTCTAACTTGTTGTGCCAGTTGTTGCCAGTGTTGTTTAAACTGTAGTCAGATCCATTCACATTCCACCTAAAACTAGTTGTTCTTATGCAAGGGTAATTTAAATATCCTCCCCATCTTGCCAACTTCTTTGTTTCCTACATAATTTCATACCCTTCAGGACAAATAAGGTTTCCTAATCACAAGCTGGGTAACAACAGCTAAAGGGCACCTGGTGAATAAGAAACTATGTAGGCAATGTCATTCAGTGCACCATTGTGAGCAACAAACAAGTCAGGAAATCAGGAAATCCTGCTATTCCCTGTATCCTGCTATTCCCTCCCAGCCTTGGTTGTGAAAAATCGGCATCTCATCGATAATCACTTACCTTCTGCTGCCACAATGAGCTGGATACTGCCGGCCTTTGTCCCGAAGGGATAAGTGACAAGGCTGCACTCGTAGTGCCCGCTCAGGGAGATGGTGACGTTTCTCAGGTGCAGAGCGTACTGGTTGCACGCCAGGAGGGCCTGGGGGCTAGAAGAACACCAAGCGCCTTGCGCTTCTCTGCTGCAGCATTTCCCGATGCTGAAGGACACCGAAAAGTTGGAAGATGTCTCATGAAGTTCAAAGTACTGGATGCCATAAACGGGGTGATAAACAGCGACTGGGATAAGCTGGTTGCCGTCAGTCTTGGACCATTGCACCTGCGTTACGTGGAGGAGATCCGATCGTGGGAGGCTGCACACCAGGGTCACGTCGGTACCCGGCAAAGCATGGACCACGTCTGCCTGTGTGATGATGTCTTCAAGTTGGCCTTGAAAACAAACAGGACAAATTTCAGCACAAGGAATACTTAAGTAAAGCTCTCTTCAAACTTCCCTTTGATGTGATTTGCTGGGTTAGCTAGAGATAACTACTAGGACAGTAAATCTAGTCCTGAAGAGGTAACCATACACTTCCCAGTGAGATTTAGAGTGGGGAGAAGCAGCAGATCACCCCTAATACACACTGCAGGCAAAGACCTGGAAAAGCAAATGAGCAATATTTTGAAAGAGGACGGGGAGTTCCCATCACACGAGCTGAAGAGAAATGGGAGCTCCAAGGGGCTCTGTGAAAAATGGAAATCTTTCAAGAGATATAAATAAAGCAGAAGCTGGGACCATTTATTCCCCGGCTCTTTTCGCAAGAACAAACGAATTATCCCTGCTGGCTAATTTCGCCTTGAACAACTCCATCTGCCTATTTCTATTACCTTTGCTGGTTTGACAGGGAAAACGATTCTTTTATCTCCACATTATTAAACTGCTCCTGCACGGCCTTGACAAGCGTCCACTTTGGCATCAGAGTGAGCAGCCCCTGTGCGTGTGCTTTCTTCTCAGCTAATTTCATGCAGCATGGGGGCAGGCCTTGGTGTGCCGTATAAAGAAGTAACGCATTGGAGAAATAAAGGGGCTTTCTGACCGTATGCTGCTTGTTTTTTGCTGCTGCCGCGGTAAAACTGATTTCCCCCCCATCTCCCTCCCAAGAAGAAGAGGTCTGCAATCTCCCACAAGGTTTCCCAAACCCATGCGCTACATACAGGGCTCCAAGGCACCTGGACTGCAAGGTGCCCAGCAGGGCATCCGGCAGCCCAGATAATTCCTGTAGGATGCAGAGCACCCCTCACCACCCCACGTGGGGACACCACGGGGACCCTGCGGCACCCGCAGCCCAAAGCTCTGGTGTGGGGCCAGGGAAGGAGAAGCAGTGCGGATTCTCACAGCCCTGCAGAGCCGACTGGGACGCGGGGCCTAACCACCGAGCTGCGACACCGGCACGCAGAAAACTCACGCACGGGAAGCAAAACTAGTGCAGTCAGGGCAATCGCTCATCTTGGGTTTTCATCTGTGTGCACACAAAGCTAATCTTTCAATTAACTTCCAAGAAGCGGGAGGGTGAAGAAGGATAAGCCTGGTTGGACAAGTGCTCTAAGGAAAACTACTGAGTAATTTTTTCATGGGGTCAAGGAGCTTATTAAAGCAAATGCTCACTGATTTCATGGGAAGTTTTTCATGAGTAAAAGTTAAATAAAAACTAATTATCACTCTTGGGATCAGAATGGCTGGCAAAAGAGACAAGCTCTAAGTCCCCTAGTTAGTAACTTATCTGTAAGATGCTCCAGTGGGCTAAAGGACCTTGTAAAGAATGCCTAGCAAGAATAACTTTAATATTTTACATTAAGATGAAAAAGTCACATATCTAGAATCAACATTTTATTTTTTTATTTATTTTTATTAATACCCTAACTCTACAGGCTGTTATAACAAAGTCCCTTTCATGCAAAGGTGTTTTAATCTTTTTGCCAGCATGCTAATATAAGAAGTCTATTTTTAAGTGGACTTCATTATTCCAGCTCAAGTCTGTGCATTAGCTCATGTCTGGGTGCCATGGAATAACTCCCAGATGTTTACATCCCTATGGAGGTAGGAAGGGTGGACACTTTCACCTTTGAAGTCTTCAGTGAGGATTTCATCCAAAGAGAGGGAAAAAGTCTATTTTTCCCCAAAATAATACTGCATCGAGGAAGGCACGAGTCTATTTAAGAGGTAAGATCTGTGCAATTTAACCTTGCCTTAAAATGGTTCAATTTGTTCCACCGTCTAGGTACCTGACAGAGTGTGTGCGAGGCAGAGACAGTATTTAGTTGCTCTTAGAAAGCAGTTTTCCTTTTCACCCACTCCAAAGAGGCACATACTGCCCGAAACACAAACGAGATCATTCCCACAATTATTCTGGTAAAAACAGGCTATATATTTTGAATAAAATAATTTACTAGTCCACACAAGCTATTTCATTACTTATTAGCTGTGCATTATAACTAGAGTTATTAGTTGCCGTTAAACCCCAAATCCTTGCTAGAGCAGTTTTGCTCTAGTAAGACACATGCGCGAGCTTTTCAACCTGAGCCTGCAAATGCCCCCATGCCCCTCAGCACCCTCCTCAAAAGCTGAGTGAAGCCCTTCGGCTGGCACTCACCTGTGACAGTGGGCACGGTGACCCAATAAAACATGGAGAAGAGCCATCCTTTTTCCATCTTTGCTTTGCCGGCGACGTTTTGTTAAATATTTTGTACTTTCAGGGCCTCCTCCCTGCACGTTTGCTGAAGAGGAAGTCGAAACCGTTCGCCCTGCGCAGACAGGCAGATGCACGGCACAGCCAGGCTCATCATTCTAGCACAACTTCAAAGAAGCGCTTCATTAAATGCGAAAGCCTCAGTTTCCTGTCAGAGCGGTAGAATTAGCACGTCTTGTGGAACTTTCGTGTCTAAGGCCACGTTCAATACCTTTCCTTTTTTGCTTTTATTTCTTGCCTTTACTTTCAGGGCCTCCTCCCTGCACGTTTGCTGAAGAGGAAGTTGAAACCGTTCGCCCTGCGCAGACAGGCAGATGCACGGCACAGCCAGGCTCATCATTCTAGCACGACTTCAAAGCAGCTCTTCATTAAATGCGAAAGCCTCAGTTTCCTGTCAGAGCGGTAGAATGAGCACGTCTTGTGAAACTTTAGTGTCTAAGGCCACGTTCGATACCTTTCTTTTTTTGCTTTTATTTCTTGCCTTTGCAGGTAAACTCAGAGTAAATAGTGTAGTGCATTAAACACCCTCCTCTTGAGAGACAGGTAGGCAGGTGTTTAAGGTTGAATTCATGGCACATAGCATGCAAGAAGGGAGGCTTTTTTTTTTTTGCCCCTGATTCACTTCCTTCACGTGTTATGCCAAAAAAGATAAATTTTCCAACTTCCCTACATTCACTAGTATCTAAAAGAAATGACAAAATACCAAAAATAACCCCCCTCACTTAAAACAGAGTTTGTTGAGAATATCCATACTCACTTCTTTATGGAGAGGGGAAATGTTAATTATTTTCTGCAGTGAGGAAATGCTGAATTGCCCATGACAGCGCCACTCCACATGGTTCACCCACTACACCCTGTCTCAGCGGGTGGCCTTGGTGCTGTGGCACCCTCAGGCAGAAGTCTCTGCCAGGAGAGGCTTCCAGGCAGAAGCCTGCCTTACTTCAGGTCAGCTATAAATCCTTCCAGATTGCCCTGGAAGTATTTTTCATTTCCATAAACTAGGTGTACACCTATCAGTAAAGCATCTCATTAAAGACAGGTCTTGGGCAGTATTTCAGGTTCTTGGAGGTGTTCTCCACACCCTGGCTTTATTTACTGCCTTCTTCCCTGCTTCCCACAGATTTTACTGCTTGTTCAAACACAGGCACAAGCACATCTTCGTGCTTTAGTAACACTCAGAGGCAGATCCAAGAAGCAAAAGTGAGAGGAGTATCTTAGTGAGAGTAATATCTCCACAGGTAACACTCACCTGATTCCCTTTCTCATCATTAAGACTGTTTAGTGAAAACATCCGCATTAAAAAAAAAAAAAGTACTTATCACGGAAAAAACAGCTCAGTGTTCTGCCTCAAAGGGTCAGAGGTTTGGTTTCAGTCTATACTGAAGTTTAAATCATAGAAGTCTTAGAGCACGCAATAGCTCATCTTGTGCTGGAGAGAGGTCAATGCTGTCCTGAAATGTTTGTCATTGCTATCAGCACCATGCAGGTGTGAGGACGTTGTATGGAGGAACTCCATGCACGTTCTTGAAGACGGATGGTGCCCGGAACCCAGCAGCACGAGTCCAGCATTTCTAGGGAAGATTTTCTAATGATCAACCCATCGAATTCCTCTCTGCTTCTGAAGCGTGGTGCATGGCAAACTGGGGCAGTTGCTAGAGGCTTTTGGCAAAGAAAACAGATTTGAGCTTTTGCCTATCACATTTCTATAAGAAAAACCATAAGTAAAAAAAAAAAAAGAGGGCAGGACATCTCACTTACACGACTTATACGTACAGTATCTGATGGCTTTCTTGAATACTAAGATCTGTCTTCAGACACTCAGCTGAGCAGGGACCAGGTCTTTCCTGTTGCCACCCTTCCCTGGAGCTTGTGGACAAGGTGCCCTTTGACATTAAGTGAGAGCTGATTACAGCTCATCTGTAGAGCAGTTTGTTCGCACAGAGAAAGCGAGCGATCCGAGTGACTAAAGGCACAGTTCCTCGGATGGATGCCTCTCTCCTTCAACGGCTCCGTGACTTTGGTGCCTGGTCCACCTGAGGGCGACCCAGGTCCTGGAGTTTCTTTACGGGAAGCAGTTCAAAGGGGTTGACTGTCAGTCCCAGTCCTTTTGCAGAGCCTCCCTTGGCTCAGGCAAGGTGTACAAACATGGGCTAGCCACCACCGGGAATTTTCTTCCCAACAACTTTCCATTTCCTTTCTGACTATCCAAAGTCGACTGACCATGGGGCTCCCCCACAGCTGCAGTGAGTCACAGAGCAGAACAAAAAAAAAAACAAAACAAAGCAAAACAAAGAAACAACCACCTCGCTAGTTATTTCCCTATTTTGCACACTACCAGATGCAAGCAACATCTATACCACTTCCCCAATTTGTGCACAGGCAATCTTTTGGTTGCCCTTTAGATCAGCTGTTAGTGCTGGCAAGGGTAAGGCCAGGCATACAGATGCATGTCTTGGAGGTTAAATGTTAGAGCACCATTCCCTTTCTGCTCGCATTATTTCCCTACCCGAGGAACCACATGAATGGCAGTTGTGCTAAACACGCTGGGTGCTCTGATTCCTGGTTAGGGAATATGAGCAAGGGCTGAAATCTCGGCTTGTCACTCAGAAGCACGACAGAAAAATATCTCTCTCTGAGGATCAGGAAGCCCTGAATCACTGAATGCACAGAATATTCAAGTCACTGTATTTGCCAGATGCAGAAAAAAGCAAAAGCCTTAAAGGTGTATGTTCTGGTTCCCAGTTCAGAGCAGAGGCCACAAAGAAACTGGGGACTATTTGCAGGGACTATAGTCCAAGAAATTGGACTTAAACCTAAAATTAGGATTTTCAGTCATGACTGCAGTTATCTTTGCTTCTACTGACCAGTTCTTGCATGATTTTTAGTTACCAAGAAAAAATGTATTTCGTGCAACACGCGGGGAAAAAAAAGAGATCTCAGGTGAGCCATTTTATTTATCTCAAGCATATATCACAATCTGACAAGACAGCACAAACTCCGTGTGGTATATTAAATAGCCACAGACAAATCCCTGAGCAGCTCCTCCGAGTTACTGGATCATTATGTCTTGCCCTTAGAAATTGCTTCCCTCCCTTAAAACAGCACCATAGCAATATTCTGCTGCCACACCATGTTTTCTTGCCTGAACACAGCCGCTGAGTGTTGTTGCTGAAATTGGTGAAGAAAGCAAGAAAGAAAAGATAGAAACTTTCCACCTGGAAGATTTTTGTTCATTTGAGGACCGTGCTTTGCCCCAATTCCTACATTTAGCCCAGATTATGAAGCAGTCATTCACTCCGCTATTGATTTGCACAGCACAGTCATGCACATAAGGCAACAAAAATTACTTCTCAGACATGCCACTTCCCTCGGTCTGCCAGCAGGGAGCTGTCACTTCTCGGAGTAGAGATGAGCTCCTGCTCTCAGCAGTGCAAAGTGTTTGGAGAGCTTTTTTTTCGTCCTCCCTCCTCAAAAGTTACTTATGGACATCTTAGGGGCTCTTGTGAGCTGTTACACAGTGGATTGAAGAGTAGGGATGCCTGGGGGTGATATGCAGTCGACACATCCCGTCAGAGGCAACACCAAGCACTGTGTGTGGCTCCAAGCATCCCTGGGAACAACCCTGGCAGTGCCCACCAGCCACCTCCACTGCCTCATGATGTGGCATTTTATTCCTGTGGGTGGAGAGAGGGGAAGGTAGCAGCAATGGAGGTTCCTATAATTATTTTGTACAGATCCGGTCACCACTGGAGCAGGTGTTTTGAGCACGACAAATGACTCTTTCCGCAGCAATCACCTCTATTATGCATCATGTTCACAAAAACCTCAATTGCAGCAGTTCTTCCCGCGCAATTACAGTAAGCTGCATCTAAGGAGGAGGCAGAGCTGCAGTCAGTCCTGAAGAAAAAGAAATGCTGAACTCCAGAGACAAATTCAATTATTCACAAAGAGAAGCCTTTCAGAAACACTGGTGTGCGAGCTATTCCTGCCAGAGGCGAGGATGATTACCCTTGCAGACTGGTGTCCTCTAAACATTGCTTAAAGAAAGCAGCACTCCCCAGTGGAGAAGAAGTAGAGACTTTGAAGCAGGAATTTCATTAAGCACGAGACTAACCTTTCAGGTTCACTTGTCGCTTGGCACAAATACTCCAACTTTGTCATTGTGTTTTGTTTTTGGACTTCTTTGAAAACCGCACTAATGACTCCATTGCCACTAGGCAACTTTCAGCAAAGCAGCTCCTGTCACCGCAGCCGCGCGAGCAGGGGAGGGAGAGTTATCTAGGGAACAGGCGGGGGGATCTGCTTTCCAGGTCCCTATCTGCTTTTTTCCAGTGACCTTCAGCTTCCTTGCACTCCTCTTCTGCCTCTTAACCTTGTGCTGCTTGTGCCTGGAAAGTGTTTAAGATGTGAAGGGACTGCTCATGCCTCCTCCCTCACTGAAGGCTCAGAGCAGGGCTGAAAATGAAGGGCAGCTCGGCCACAGCCACCTCCCTTTCTTGGCACGCGGTCCATGCTGGCTCCAGGGCTGCTCGTCCTGCCTGTGTGAACTCCTCAGCCTTTCCCAGTCCTGCAGAATTAAAGACAACTCCTTCTATAAACATTTCGCTTGCCATGACGTTCTGCAGACATTTTTGGGCCAAATCTAACCAGATGATAGCTCTTTAATTATGCCTTTTGTTCATCCTGCTGGTAAATATTGCTTCCTTCACATCAGAAGTTGGTAACTTGCCTCTAAATTGCATCACCTAAGGCTATGAGGACTCAGTGGACAGACAGACAAGAAGCACAGCCCTTCCATCCTCACCTCCTGCTGCCTGTGGAAAAAAACAGTTGGCTTTTGCAGAGTCAGGTAAGTCAAGGAGGCATCTTTTGGAGAAGCATGATGACCCCACAGAAGTCTCTTCAAGTGTTAAGTTCCTCTGTATGCACATTTCTGGCTTTCCATTTCAGTGACAAATACCT